GACCGTCCTGCTTCACATCATTTTTTTTCTCTGTCAAAGGGTTGTCATCTTTTTTTTTTTCCTTGCCGCCTCTGAGGCTCCATCTTCTCCTCTCGTTCCTCTTCACCCCCCCTCCCCCCCACTCCTCCATCGGTATGCAGCTGCCGTACGGACCACGGCTGATCCCTCTTTATGAGGACATGCGATTCTGGGCTTTTATCTCCCACCTTGCTTTGCAAAATTCACACGCCTGCATTCGCCATCCTAACGTGCGTCAATCTCTAATATGGCAAGCCTTGAAAGACGAGGAAGATTGTCTCTTGCTCTGAGCAATGTGAATTTAAAAAATTGAAATACACGTATATTCAGAATTGCTCTTCAACCAAGCAAAAATATATTTTGTCCAAAGATTTGCTTATTCAATAGAATTTTCTGTAGGTTAGTCAATTACTAAAATAGTTGATAACCGACGTGGGATTACATTGCAAAAAAAAAAACTCTTGAAAATTACAAACTTGCTCCTGAAACGAAGTCATTGATTAGCTTCTCCCAAAAATGTTATTTCACCCTTGGCGCCCCCCTGGAAAGTTAGAACAAATATTTTCAGCAAACAAGTGGAAATTGGGTGGGGGAAGCCCGCCGTAGTAGGAAGCATGAAATAGTCTAAAGGAACCATGTCATGAAAATAAAACAGAAGTCTCACTTTTTTTGTTTGGAGAAGCCATTTTGGGCGCATTTCAGGATTCATACTTGGACCAACTCCACACTCAAATGAGCCTTGATTACAAGCACGTATCTTGGACAAACTACTAATAATAACCATAATAATAATACTACTACTACTAATAATAATTGGCCCCAAGACCAGTTTTACCAATCAATGCGACATTGGGTGGAAAATCCTCAAACACACAAAAAAGTCTCAAGGACCCATGCTCGAAATTGAGTCGAGTGGCTAAGCGTCAGAAAAATGAGCTGATCGCCGTGGCAAAAGGAAATTTGCAGGCTTATCCGTAATTGGGCACAAAGCCCACTTGAGCAGGGTTGAGAGCCAAAAGAGCCCGGGAAAGGTCAACGCCGCAAAACGGCACCAAAAGAAGCGTCACAAGCTTCGGTTTAGGAGCAACACTGAAAACCGAAGGGGACATTTCTGCAGCTCCCACAACACACGGAAGGGGTGTTGAAGGACCCCTGGAAATGGACTAAATGAGACAAGATTGCAGAGTCAGATGAAAATGGCAGACATCCTGTCTTTATGGTCATGGGCTCGTGAGACTTTTTTTGGGGGGGGGGGGGATTCTACTCCCACGCCAATGAAACTAAAAACCTTTGCAATTAGTCATCTGTCTAATGTATGCGGTTCCAATTCAGGAATCTCTGGCACTTTTCAGTGAGAGACTCCTTGAAATGGCCAACATTTCCCTAAGATGGGCCCCTTCAAACCAAAATTGTGGACTGTGAATGTCTTTAGGTGGGGATCCTTGAGTCTTTTTTGCGGGTCTACTCTCTGCTACTCAAGACGTCCCTGGAAATGGCCAAATTGATGCTAAAATGGACATTTCAGCGCAAAATGCTGGACTTGCTATGTGTTTTTAGGTATGACTTGTTCAGACTTTTTTTGTGACTCTTCTTGTAATCGACATGACCACCAAATTTCATGCTGTGAAGTGAAACTGGCTTTGGGAGCTGGATTTTCCCCAAATTCTTCATGTCCAAAAAAGGATGACATTTCCCCCAAAATGGTGAACTTCCTGTCTTTTTGGCCAGGGCTTCTTCAGACTTTTTTTGTCTACTCATGCTCGACATGTCCACCAAATTTCATCACAAAACTGGCAGGTGAACGGGCAGCTACAAGAATAGGGAGGCACTCACTGTGTGTGCGAGCCTGATACAGGTGACAGCTCCGAGCTTCACTCGGCTTTGCCCTCAAGTTCATTTGACAGACATTTTCTATACAAACACGCACACGGAGTCAGATGAAACACAAGTGCATTTTCTCAGCCATCAAGTGGCGTAGAAAAGTGCCACCCCGCTGTATGCGCTCCCAATGAAAAATTGCTCTGCGTAGGTGGCAAAGCAATACTGCAAATATAGAAGAAAGCAGTTTAGAGCAGAATAGCACTCAGTGGAGCACGAAACCTCCAAGACTTTTTTTTTTTGACAGGTTCTGCATTCTTCAATGAGAGCTGTGACAAAAACGAGGCCGTGGAGGACAAGGGGAAAATCAAAGTCTTGCCTTCCGAGCAAACAATCCAAATCTCAAACTTTTTACTCCTTTCGCTCCAAGTACCACCGTCATGGCCAATGTTAAAAGTCAGTAGCATAGTAGGCCTATGTGTTCACACTGCAAAACGCCATGGAAGGGCTAACAAAACCAGCATTGGTGTTGCAGTAGTTGCAATCGAAGCAATGCAGATTGGAACACAAACGGTGCAGCGGCACAGGTAGACAAACGTAACAATTCTCAGGGGTATATATTCTTTATCCTCCGTTGAAACCGACTAATATTACTGCAGACTTCTCGACCAGATATATACTGTAGATTGATCAACTTTTGGATAAGACCGCAATTTCATGTAATATTCTTAGCTCATATATTGTGCATGTCAGGACCTATGGCACTCAAATGTAGCAAATTAACAACATAATTTGATTTTGAGAAGAGAGAAATTATGTGGAACCAAAATATGAAGGCAACTCTTATTTAACTTTTTTGGTCCTGCTTTTTTTCCGACCAGAAATGATAGTTCAATCAAACAAGGATGAAGGCGTAATTCAACCCACGGGGGTTCTCTTTCACCTTGACCTGTAATTTCATGTTTGCGGTTAGAAGACACGAGATATCATTTTGGCCTCCCTCACAGTATGTGCGTCACATGAGTACATGTCGAGATGCAAACAAAGCCGTAATCAATAAAACGTGCGGCAGCAGAACTCCTAAAGGCTTCTGCCGGCACAAAATGGACGACGTGAGAATCAGCATGTTTGCCCCTTAATCAATACGGCAGAAATGAAACACGCCACAAATGGACCTTTTAATCTTGTTACTGAATCTTTATGCAACACTTTGGGCGGGGTGCTTTTGATCGAAATGTCCACTGCGCGCACTCCCGTAGAAAATACCTCATGTGTTCAGCAGATGGCAGATTACACATGATTCAGATTTCGGTTTGACCCGGTTGAGGCTTCAAAATTCCATCAAAATGCTCAAATGCCTCAAAAAAACAACAACTTGAGGTTTATTCCAAAAGCACCACAAACAGCCTCGCTTGACCTTTACCAGCACAGGGCCGGCCTTTTAAAGCCATATACGCTTAAAGTCACAAACTAAAAAAATAAATAATATCAGACAACATCTCTCGAGGAGTCAAAATGCTTGACTTCCTGTCTTTTCGCCCATAGTTTTAGTTCAACTCATGAATGACATGAGTGCCAAATTTCACATTGACCAGCTCAAAAGGCTCTGGGGGCTGTTTTTGTTTTTTTGTTTTTTTTTTACTCCGGGCGGTGCTTACAAGCAAATTTTGATTGGTCAGGACAGTGACTCCATCCAAATGTCAATTTTCATGAAAATGTCCTCAAATTTGCCGTTTTTGAATATGGAAAGCACTTAAAATTTTAAATGGCCGTTTTTTTCTTCTTTCAAGGGGTGGGAGGGGGCACCCTTGACTCATTCTAAGTTGATAACAGCTTTCATGACAGACCAAAATAGCTAGAAAAAAAGGCTGTTCCATCCATTCATCCAAACTTTTTTTTTTTCCAGTGCCACCACAAACGAATCATTTGAGATGGGCCCCAATCATAAAAGAGTTTTGCAAAACATCCCAGCGGGTCGGAACATCAAACGTGGGCAACTCTCCAAGAAGCAAAGCGGGCGGTCAGCGCTTGGAAGTGTCATCGGGCCACAGCTGGATGGGAGGCCATCTTCAGCGAGGGCACCAATGAGGAAAGCAACACCCCGCTTTGCTCCCGAAACCAGAACAAAAATCTCATTTGGTCAAGACCACCGTACAAGGACTTTGCTGGACTTCACGAGACAGCAAACGAGTTTTGTGCATCCACAGCACCCCCGTTGGTTGCCGACAACCGGTGCGCTCTGTTTAATCACCCTCAGATGTGATTCATCAACAGTCACTTCCATACAAATCAACACAGTTAGGAACGCCTCATTCATCAATTATGCCTTTTAAGTATGGTTTAAAAGATGAATCACATATTGAATAATATTGTTACAGTCACACATATGATGTGATTATGAAAATGCAAGTACATTGAATTTGATGAACATTTTAAAATGTAGCATACATGTTTAAAGTTACAACATTCAGGGGTTTTAAAAAATGGTTGCAAATGTTGTTGATTAAAGGGTGACGTGTGACACATTGGAATTGTTTTTTTTGTTGTTTGTTTTTTCATCAATCGAAGGAGGGAGCGACTCATTCACGCGCCTCAGACTTGTTACGTGCACGCGCACGGTTAGCGGTTATACAGGGGCGGCGGCGGCTACGCGTGCACGAGACGATCTATACTACGAAAGGGTGGGGCGATATCCGGGACGTTTTTGGAGACTTTTGGTATTGAGGAAGGGGGGCACCTGATTACACAACCACACGCGTTCCAGGAGCGGCACATCTGATTGCTGCACACTCGAACTTGCCACACAAACCCCAATCAAATATGCCAAAGGCGCGTGTTACCCGTGCAACACGCACACACCCGCGCGCGCGCACACACCTGAGCTAGAGGTGACTGCTGCGGTCAAAACAGCGCAATTGAATCCCCGAAACACAAACACACAACTTCTGCCCTCCTGCCAACACACAAACTTGTGTCGCCGCAGTGTTTTCACCGGGAGCACGCACGCGCGCGCACGGCGCAACTTCCACGCACTCCAACGCACGCAATACAGATGATGGAGAATCGGAACAGCCGTGCTGTTTTTTTTTTGTCTTGCCTGGGGGGTCCCCACGCACACCACACCCCGGTTTTGCAGCAGCTGCAGCCTCCCCGCATGCACTCACCTCCAAAAATGCTCGCGGCCAGACTGGAGAGGAGGAAGAGCAACTGCCGCTGGCCCATCATCATCATCTTCACTTCTCAAGTGTTACGCTGCCTTGTCGTGACTCGGCGCTCCACGCGTGGGGAACGAAGAAGGGGAGGGGGTGGGGGGGGTTCACTTATCCAGACGGGGGATGCGCAGACTTTTACATGGATGAACTCTGAGTGGCAAAGACGATGATGATGCTCCAGAGGAGGAAGAGGAAGGAGGGAGGTGGCTGAGGATTGGGGAGGGGGGGGCAGCTGGTCCGCTTCTGGAGCAGGACGACGCTGACTGCTGATCGGCAGCGTGCACGTGCAACCCGCGGCTCCCGTGCTGCTCGTTGATTGGATGACGGGGAGGAGACAAAGCCACGCCCACTCGGGGGTTCTCAAATTGGGGTTGGCGAGCCGTAAATCTGAGGGTCCGCAACAAATTAGGTTGGCTCTCTTAACCCTTTGAAACTCGATCAAAAAGACCCATTTTTTTGATGGCTGACAACAATAAAAACACCCCAAAATGTCACTGTTTCGCCCTCAAAAATTGATGAGTGCACAAATATACACTTACATGAAAATTTGGTAAAGAGTCTACAAATCTGCCTTGTGTCGAATAAAAATTATGTTAGATTTCCAGTTCTGTGTGAATCAAGATTCCCACATCTTGAAACGGTTCCATGCCATAAATGTGTGTCTTTTTAATGGCAAAATAAATTTAGAGAACTGTCTATATATATATATATATACACACACACACACACACACACACAAACACACACACACACACCCCTATAAATAAACAGGATAGCCCTATTGAAGGGATGTCAAACTCATTTTTTGTCGCGGGCCACTTCGGAGTTACGGCTTCCCTCGGAGGGCCGGTGCAAAATCTCAACGTTATTTATTACCCATAACAATTTGACATTTCGGTACAGATTTCAGCAAGAATCATGACAGGTGACACACATGATTTGCTCCCGCGGGCCACATATAATGACGTAGGGGGCCGGATCTGGCCCCCAGGCCTTGACTTTGACATCTGTGCCCTATCGGGTAATACCGGTGGAATGAGACCATTTTTTTACTGTCTGCAAATGCTGTAAATGGTAAGAATACATTAAAGTAAGAACAGTCGATCAATTACTCGGGCAGGCCCCCAGAAATTACTCGTGGTCCAGTTAGGGCTGCATAAGTAAACTTCAGGTGTTCCGAAACAGTCACCTGGTGACTCCGGGGCCATCGGGCTGCTATTAACTTCGGATCCCTAGAATCATTTTTCTGTTCATTTTATAACAAAATGTGAAACAGGAAGAAAATCCCATTTTATTGTGGGGAGGGGGGGGGGGCATTTTAGTGTGTTTTTCAAAAGAAAAGGCAGAGGAAAGCATTACGAGCACATGATTCATTTTCCTACTTGAATTCTGCCTAGCAACAAGTGGCCAATTGTACATATATAATCACGAGTTGGTGCCATGGTTAGTTAAAAATAATTTTTAAAAAACAGTGCAATCACGGGTGGCTGAAATGTATGCATCGGTGAAAACTAATATACATCATTTCACACGTAACATTGGATGTTTCTTCTCTTTTGTGGTCGTGTGTCAGCCGCATGAGACTTATCTGCTCTCACCGATCTAATAAAGTGATGAAGAATTGCCCTTCAGGGCCTCGCGGGATTCAATCTGTACCATCGCGACCGCACGCCACTGCTGTGAATCATAAGCGAGCTGTACGATGAGTGTGTGTGTGTGTGTGTGTGTGTGTGTCTCGCTCTCGTGCCAGGTTCAAGGGGTTAACTGTATTGAAAGCATTGATGGTTCCTAAGGGAGGTTGGAGTTAAAAGGCTGAAGCGGAACAACATGCCAAGAGGCTGATTAGGTTGAAAACACTCCCCTTATGTTGCAGGTCAATGAGCAGTGTTACGATATTCTTTTTTTTTTTTCTTTTTAAAGAAATCCTCTGCTGGCTTTGGTCTTTTTATGTTCCAAACGATTTTTTAATTGACACTGCATTTGGATTGACCTGAAATGGGAACATTTTCTCCCCTGTTTAAAAAAAAAAAAGTTTGAGAAGCCCCGAGAGAACTAAAATCAGTGGCACGGTGGACTCAGTGGGGTTTGCGCTCTGCGCTAACAAAAAGGCCACGCTACTTGGCTCCAAAATGAAGCTGTCACAACTCTTCAGCGCCTCCGCTGCAAAACGCCAGTCACGCTTCTTCGCTCCTCCTGACCATCTGCTCTCCTTGGCGACTTCATCACACGCTTCCTCCCTCCTCCCCCTTGACATCTTTTACACAAACGCGCCGCCGGACGCACGAAGGGATAATTGCACAAGTGACACCCTGACAGGGAGCCATTTTGTAAGGTGTGTCCACGACCACATTTGAAGTCAGGTGGAAGCAATCAGCGGAGGCATGCGAGATACGTAGTTCCATGTACAGCGGTGCTTTCAGATACACATTTAATTCATTTCTCTTTTCCCACTAAAATCAATGGAAAGGCCAGCGAGAGAGAGAGAGAGAGAGAGAGAGAGAGATTTCACATCTGTGGGATAAATGCCATTCTTACATGAGCAAGATACATAGTTAACGCTCCATCTCCAAAGTTCTCCACTACAATACCATTTGGAACAGTTCACAATCAATATTCACCCAATAACCTGACAAAAAAATAAAAACTTTAAATAGAACATTTTTTACTCACCAGAAATGTTGATTATTTTGAGACAAAATCCATGTCCTTTCCTTGCTGCTGCCTGTAAGCTAGTTTGCGCACTCATACATGCTGTCCTCAAAGTGCCAAATAAATCCTTTTTTTTAAAAACTGAAACAGGGCAGCCTCCAAGTCCAGTTTTTCTGGAAAAGTCCACCTTGCAATTTAATTTTTTTTGTTTTTTTGTGTGACTCGTGTCTGATATTCGTCCTCCTCCAGGTGTCAAGCTTTCATGCATATTGGAAGACCAATTAGTTCAACCAATCCGAGGAGGGAAAAATAATGACATCACGCTTTACGACAGCTGGCAGGCCTCTTTGGTGAATTTGAAATCTGATTGGTTAAAAAAAAAAAAAGCCATTACTAATTGTGTGTATGTGTCATGGACCGGCATTGATGACATTGAGAATGAAGTCTTTTTTATTTTTTTTTTTGGCGATAAAAAGTCCAAGGCTATTGTTTAAAACAAATGGATAAATATCGCTTCTTCTTCTTCTTCACGAGTGCGCTTCATCCCGGTAGTCCATTCATCCTGACTTTTGCTGATGGTAACTACGACTTCGGCATTTGTTGTTGTTATGGCCTTTTTCATCCTTTGCAGATTTATAGTAAGTGTCTGCCTCGTGCACCATGTTGTTGACTCGCTGTCGTTTTCCCAACAGGCGTGCACGATGCCTCTCCTTTCTCTCGAGGTCGGCGTCTGGCCTCCACTTTGAGCGTATTAAGATGTCCGCTCGCCTCGGCTTTTTAGAGTGACTAATGACTCAGACTCTTTGCAAACCGCTAAAAGACGGCCGTAAAAAAAGCCAAGCAAAGCGATGCAGCACTTGCGCTGCGGTCAACAACATCACAACTTTTCCCCGCAACTTCCATTAGCAGCCTTTTATTTTAATGTGCGTTTTACAAACGGCTTAGAAACAAAGTTTGCTAAAGATGAGCAACTTGATGTTTGCTTTCTTTCTTTTTTTTTTTTTTTTAGCCTAAGATTTTGTTTTTGCCTCAGCCCTCATTCCATATGATGGTGTCATGCACACTCGCTTGTGCCTGCATGCCCTTATATGAGTGCGAGACTCGCGCTGTATGCAGACAAAAAAAAAAAAAAGA